AGGGGTGAGCAATGGCAACTCGCGCTGTCGCTGCTCAGTGGGTGTCAGAGGTTGAGCTGGTGCGCAACATTGTCCGCTACGACGCTGGAATCAGTGCGTCAGGAAAACGGAGATGGCAACATGCCCCAGCGCTATTGTCGGAGCGTGGGAAGCTAAGTTGGAGCCCACTGTCATCAGTTGCAGCGCCGGGATCAGGTGAGAGAAGGGTGGACACTGGCAGCAGGCCCTGTCGCTGCCCAGCAAAATGCGGCAGGCGGCGTTGGAGCCCGCCGTGATCAGCTACAGCAGTGGGATCAGAGTGCGCGTGAAGGGCGGACAATGGCAGCAGGCACTGTGCCGCCAGGCAGGCGGGGGGGATGCTGTGGCCCACTTCCTGCCCTGTGGCAGGAAGTGGGCCTCACCCCCCCCCGTCTGCCTGGCGGCGAGCGCAACCCCCCTCTCTGTCAAATACAGACTCATGCGGCGATCAGCTGCGATCCCCCGAGGACCAACCACCCCCACTGCCTTGTCACACTGCAGGCTCACATCAGCGACGGCTTGATGCGACCCTGGAGGACCAACAATCGGAGACACCCACCATCAAAAAGAGATCATAGCGGCGACCAGCTGCGACCCCCAAGGAAATGAAAGAGAGATCATAGCGGCGATCAGCTGCGACCCCCGGGAATGACCATGGCCCCTGCCCCTCGGATTCGGGGCCAGGCTGAGGGGAGAGGCGTTGCTGCCCCTCGCCTCTCCCCTCTCGGGCCAGGCGGGCGCCCCCCGCCCTTGGCCCCGGGGCCCGCCTGACGCACTGCAGACGTCGGCGTGGTTGCCCCCCCCTCCCAGGGCCGCCCGTGTTCCTCGCTGCCCGTGGTCTGGCTCACCACTCTCAGCGGCGGCTACATGCGGCCCTGGGGGACCACGTAGTGTGCGTTGGCGTTCCCCGGGTCTCGGGCGGAGGTGCCGAGCGGCGGACTGGGTCAGATTTTGCCCCCTGGCCCTCGCGTCTACCACAACGCAGCTCCCCCAGGCGCATCGCCCTATGACAGCGGCTCGCCCCCTCGCATAGGCGCCACTCGCCTAAGGGCATCGGTTCGCCTTGCTCGCACAGACGCCGCGTGCCTAGGGAGGCACAGCCAGGTCTGTTCAATTGGGGACACGCTCGTCCCCGGTTCAGTTTGGCGTCCTCCAGATGGCAGCACTACCACCAGTGCCGCCCCCCCCCTTACTCTCCTCGCTGGCGATGCTCACCACGCCTGCTGGCCCCCCCCCCCCCCTCACTCTGAGGCCTGACGCCGTGCCGGCACGCACTGCGTGGCCCACAGTCGCTCGGTTCCCCCCTGCACTGTGAGGCGGTCTGGCGGTCGGTGGCATCGCCGCGGAGTGGTTCAGCCTTCCGCAGCAGCTACAGCACCCCAGGCTCACCACCAGCTTCCGGCAGATGGCGTTGCACCACGTTCCGCGACAACTCAGCCCCCCTAGCTAGCACACGTCGTCCAGTGCGTTTGGAGCCTGGCGCCCCGCCGGCGACTCACTCCACCGGCCTCGCACTTGCCCCCACTTAGATTGACGGACTTTTGGTTACCCTGGTGCACGTCTCATATTGTGGCAGGCGCCAAATCCCACCAGCCCTCTGGGCGTCGGCGGTTTAGAGCGTTTCCTCTTCCACCCCTCCTTCTTCCCCTTCGGGGAGGGGTTTACCCCTCCCCCTACCCCCCCCCCCACTCCACTGACCTGGACAGGGGGAGCCGCGATCGGTCAGAGCGCCCAAAACGGCCTCGGCGAGGAAGCCGAGATCATTGATTTTACTATGGTTTGGGCCCCATTTTGGCCTTCTGAGGGGGGGCTCCATTTTAGGAACCCCCCTTCTTCGACCGATTTCCTCCACGATGGCCGCAAGAGGCCCCCAGGATGCCCCAAGAGGCCGCAGGATGGCCCCAAGATGGCCCCAAGAGGCCCCCCAAGAGGCCCCCAGGAGGCCCCCAAGAGACCCCCAAGAGGCCCCAAGAGACCCCCCAGAGGCACCCAAGGTGCTCCCAGAGGCCCCAAGATGGCCCCAAGAAGCCCCAAGAGGCCCCCAGGAGGCCCCAAAGAGGATTCCGAACGGCCCACAGAGGCCCCCCCGAGGCACCCAAGACGCCGAAAAGCCCCTCAGGACGACCCTCTACTCGCCTGGGCGTCGTTTCTGGACGGGCTGGTGGGGATACGCGACGCGTCTAGAATTCCATGACATTTTGTCTGTGCGCGTGCTCGAGCTCTCAGGACACCCCTGCCGTCAGCCCCCCTTCAGCTTCGCGGCTGCTTTGTGAGCGGGCCGGCCGTCCCTGTTGTAGCTAATTAGCCTCGCTCGTGCCCAGGACTTTGCTTCTCGCCGCCTGATGGTTGTCTCGCGGCCGCGACCAAAAAGTATCCCCACCAGAGGAGTGCTCTTGCGCGCTATTCTGGCTGCGCTTCAGCCTCGATTGGCCAATTCACGCGCACGCAATTCGTTTTTGGTGTTTTTTGGCCCTCGGCTCAGGCCACCCTGGCAGCCTCTCCAATCACAGCGGTTGCTCACGTTTTGCATTCAATCCACTAGCACCTTGCAGACCCTGGCAGTCGGTCACCCTGGCAGTCAGCACCTGCAGCTCGTTGCACGGTTGCACCGCCGGGCAGTGTTGCAGCCCCGCCTCCTCTTCGGCGACTGCCTGATCCTGTTCTGAGTGGCGGTGTTAGGCATGCTTCTGCTTGGTTCATTAGCCTCTCGCGCGGCCCGCTCGGACTTTGACTCGCCGCTGTTGCGCTCTCGCTCGCGGCTGCCGACAAAAAAAATCCCCACCAGCTCCCTCGGCGCAGCAGCTTCCCCTGGCGGTAGGTTCTGTCGGTGTCTGCGCGCGCGCCGGCAATTAGTTCCGCTCGTAGCCCGAGCTGACTCGACTCGCCGGTGGCGTTTTCGCCTGCGGTTGCGACAAAAAAATCCCCATCAGCCTTTTTTTCCAATCTTGCGACCGTTAGTCGCTCTTCGTCCGCCCCTGGCGCGACTCCCCCTGCGGGCGCCGGCCCTCTCGCCTGCCACCGGCGCCCGTGCGGCCTCCTCGGCCTCCTTTCCCCCCTCCGCCTGCCTCGCCCCCCGCCCGCCCTCCCCGCGGCCCCTCCGTGGCCGTTCTGGCCTCGTGCCCAATACCGCCCGGCGCACGCCCAGCTGGGGTTTTCGGCGCGCGTCCGGTCTCCCAGTGCGCCCTTGTCACTGGGCCCCTTTGTGGCCCTTCGCTTCTCGGTGCTGGGCCGCCCCCCTGCGCCTCGCCCTGCGTGGGGCGCTCGGGGCCTCCCTCGGCGCTCTGCCCCGCTTCTGGCTCGGGGACTCTGGGGCGTCCGGGTCGTCTCACTGCCGCGGCTTGCCACCCAGGGCGCCCTGCCCGGCGGCCCTTGCCCTGCTCAAGGTGCCGCCCGGCCTCCTTGGCCGCCGGCGCGGACCGTCGCTATCGGTCGTCCGCCTGTCCCCGGCTGCCTCTCTGCCTCTGCTTGCCGGCCCTTCTTCCAGTGGCCCTCGGCCTCCCTCCCGGGCGCGGGGTCGACGGACCCCTGGTCCTCCCCCTCCGCGCAGGCTCCTCCCTGTCGGTCCTCATGCTGGGCCCCCTCGCCTTCTTGGTGGCGCGTGCCGCCCGCACCCACCCTGACGGCACCCTCCTCGACACTTGTCCGACGGTGCCTGGCGATCCGGACTCTGCTCCGTTGAGCGCCCGCATGGCGTTGATCGACACCCACCGAGGCGCGCGACACGGCTGTCACTTGCATCCGCGGTACCATGACCTGGCGCTGGATTCGCTTTGTGTCCTGCTGGTGGTCCTCCTCGACGTGTACGCGGCGTCGTACAACTCGAATTCCGCCATTTTGGTGTTGCATTTCGCCTGGAAGATCTTCCTGGTCGACAGCGCCCTTCCCTGAGCGGCAGCGAGGCCCGCCTCCTGTTTGTTCCTCTCCCCGTTTTCATTTCTCTTTTCGCTATTCTTCCTCTCAGTGCGCGTAATTTAGGCCGTTGCTTGTGTGTTTTGCTCCTGGACGCCGCCCGACTTCTTTCGACGCAGTCGCGATCAGAGAAGTATCCCCACCAGCCCATCCAGAAACGATGCCCATGAGAGCTAACAGGGGTAGAGAGGAAGAGACATGCATAGTCAAACAGCGAGGGAGGCTTGGGAGGCTCCGTGGCCATCTCGAGCCGTCTTGGAGCGGTCTTGGGGCCGCTTGGAGCATTTGGGAGCCATCTTAAGCCAGCTTGGGCTATCTGAGCCATCTTGGAGGCCGTCTTGGGCTCTCTGAGGCCGATCGGGGGTCTCTTGGGTGCCTCTCGGGTGCCTCTTGGAGCCCTCTTGGGGCGCTCTTTGGGCCCTCTTGGGAGCCTCCTGGGAGCCCTGGAGCGCCTCTTGGGGCCATCTTGGAGGCGGTCGGTCAAAAGAGTGGGGGTACTAGATTTGCGTCGCCCCCTCGGGGGCCACGATCCTCGTGAGGGGTGGCCAAAATGGCCCTCCCAGGGGCCGAGAAAGGAGCCTCCGATACATCGCGACCAAACCTCAGGGAGGGGAGCCCCTCCCCGAAGGGAAGAGGGGTTGTGGAAGGAGACCCTCCTTAGACCACCTGTCGCCCAAAAGGCTGGTGGGATTTCCAAGAAGCTCCTGTGTCGGGGAGACGTAAGACTCGTGTACAGGGGACTCGGGTTGGCCCAACGGGGCCATCATGAAAATGACGAGGCCCCACCTGAAACTTGACGCGAGCTCCCGCTGCAAACATCCCACGAAAATCGGACCGTCAGAATCCAGAACGCGCTCGCCAAAAGGCGTCGGCAAACCCGAGTTCCCACTCACTCGAGTCTTACGTTTCCCCGACTGCGGCTCGGACGCGTGATGGATTGATGGGCCTCTTTTCCACCACCACAAGGGGAAGGAGGACGAGGAGGAGGAGGAGGAGGCGGACTCCCTCCCCCTCCAACTTATGGTGGTGGTGGAAAACAGGCCCATCGTGGAGGTATCCGCGGCGCGCGAGTCCTCGCGCTTGGCAGCAGGCCACACCGGGACGGACCAGTGGGAGCCCACGCCTCTGGACATGTGCGGCCAGCGCCTCGGCGCGGGGGCCGCCGGGCGGCTCGGGCTGCGCAGAAGTGCTGTGCCGTGCCACCGAGAAGACGAAGGTTGGCGGCGCGCAGGGGGGGAGGGCTTCTTATCGGCTGCGCGCAAGAGTGGCCCTGGGTGAGGGTGGCCTTTGGTGCGCGGCTTCTTGGGGGTCGCGTGGTGGGCCAAACACCATCGCGCAAGACACTACTACCGCGGCGCGTTCGGCGATCGGAGGACCCCAGTGGGCCCGCACCCAAAGGTCACTCCAGCGAAGGGTCGCTATTACGCGTAATCGATCTCAGAAGCCCTCCCCCCCCCTCTTCCCCTCGGTGCGTGGCCGAGAGAAGACGGAAGGGAGGATGCGCACAAGTTCAGATGAGGATCCGTCGGGACTCCTGATGGAGCGATCACCCGTGCGGAGAGGCGTCCGGGCCCGGCTGAGACTACGTGGAGGAGGCCGTGGCCTCGGAAATGTGAAACGTACTGTGCTGCGCCAGCCGTGCATGCAAAAAAATGCGAGAGGTGGAGGGGTGGGGGAGGACGGAGGGGTCCTGTCCTGTCCTGCTCGGAGACCTCGTCGTTGGTCGTCGCGTACTTTGGTGTGCACGTCGGCGTGCGTAGTGAATGACGTCGGGTTGCTGCTTCGTTCGGTGGTCTCGTGTGCCTGCCAGTGCGTTGGTGCAGTCGTCCTCGAATCTGGACCGGTCGAATCAGGAACCTCTTTAAAGCTGGCCAGACGCGACCGACCGCGACGCAGCCGCATCGACCGGGGACACCCCTGCTCCTCCTTCGACGTTGAGCGGGCAGAAGTTGTACAGCTGTTGCGCTCATGTGGCAGTGAGAAAGACATATGCGAATTCACCGACTTAGAAGCAAGGTCCGACGAGTCAAGCAGCAGGCAGGTGAGGAGAAAGCAGGGCAAAGAGTATAGGAAACAGTTGAGGAGACCGCAAGGGCACTGGGTAGCTCAGCAGGCAGCCACGTTGAGGATGATGATGATGATGATGATGATGATGATGATGATGATGATGATGATGATGATGATGATGATGATGATGATGATGAGGAGGAGGAGGAGGAGGAGGAGGAGGAGGAGGAGGAGGAGGAGGAGGAGGAGGAGGGGGAGGGGGAGGAGGAGGAGGAGGAGGAGGAGGAGGAGGAGGAGGAGGAGGAGGAGGAGGAGGAAGAGGAGGAGGTGGAGCGTGCCAAAAGGAGGAGGAGGGAGGAAGAGGACGAGGAGGAGGAGGAGGAAGAGGACGAGGAGGAAGAGGAGCATAACCACAAGCAAACCCGCAACCATAACATGAGGAAGGACACCGAACGGAAGCTCTGCTCCTCCTGCCCCCGCCCCTCCGCGCCGTGGCGTGCTCGCGCGCCGCTCGCGCTCCGACGCCCTGCAACGATGACGTCCAAGACGAAGGTAGAATCAAAGCGCTCCAGAGGGCTCCGAAGCGGACCGCTCCAGGCACCCCCCCAGAGGAGAAGAAAGAGGACAGGAAGAATCGAGGAGGGAGGAGGCCACAGAGCCGCGAAGATCACCGAATCCAGAGCCCCCCAGATCGGCGGCACTGGCCGGAGGCTATTACAATAAGAGCGCTCCAGAGGGCTCCGAAGAGCGCAGAAGGATTGGGTCAAGGGCTCTGGTCGCGATTTCTCACAATGCCGACTTTTTCGTGGCGTCGAATCTCGGGGAATGGAAATGAAAGTCTTGACGCTTCGCGAATCCCCACCAACCGATCCCAACCCCCAGACGAGTTGCCTTAATCAGGGAAGTGCAGGAGTCAGCAGTGGAACAACGAGGGGAGCAGCTTTCAAACCGAAGTTCGAGATTAGCCTGATCAAACCCAGCAGTCAAACATAACTGCCTTCGCGGATCTTTCGAGATGGAAGCGTGGCACCGCTTTGAAAGCCTGTGGGGCTCTCTTGGGGCTCTCTTCCTTGGGGGCTTGGGGCCATCCTGGGGGCCATCGATCGAAGGGCGGGACATCGATCAAAGAAGGGGCGGGTCCATGATTAGGGCCGCCCCTCTTGAGTCCCAAAAGCTGTTTCATGGGGCCCTCTTAACACGCTTGGCCCCTCATGGGCGCTCTTGATGCCTTCTTGAAGCCCTCTTGGGCCACATTGGAGCCATGCTGAGACCTCAGAAGCCCACCAGAAGCGAAGAAGCGGTAAGGTAAAAGGCATGATTTGTCCTGATGCTTTGGAAGATGGTGGGCTCTCGGGGGCGTCCTTGGGAGGCTCCGCAGCAAAGTGGGGCCGTCTTGGAGCAGTACTGGGGCCTCTTGGGCAATCTCCTGCCATCGTGAAGGTCACCTGGGGCTCTCTGAGGCCACCTTCACGGCAACGCAACCTGGTGAAGCAAACCTGTATATTCTGAGCTTGTCTCTCGCCGCGCGCAGCTGAAAAACCATGAGGCCGGAGAGGGAGGAGGGGGGCGAGGAGAAGGAAGAGAGGGACCCTTGCAGATTCTGGCGAACCCTGGATCAGGCCGGAACATTTTTTGTACGCTGGCGCCACCACCCGTGCAAAACAGAACAGGTGGCACGGCTCCGCGGCCTGAACGATCTCATGACCTTGGAAAAGTCAAAGGTGCAGCACGCTGCAGTCACTCCCGGCGGCAACGCTCAACGCTGCCGCGGGTGCCTCGCTGGTGGACAGTTGTAAAGACTATCTGTTTCTGGTGATGTTTTACCAAGTCTGCTTCCGCAGATCACCGCCTGTCTCAAGGTCACGGCTGCCGGGGAGGCATGGGGGAGGGCGTCTGGGCCACTGCCATCTGGGGTCGGCGGCGCCAGCCCAGTCATTCCCTGGACTGTGCCTCGGAAGATCGCGAGGCCACGTCACCAAGCTGTGCGAGACTCCATCTCATCACTGCAACTGCGACTGCGACCTGCTTGAAACGCCGCGAGGGCGCTGCAGGGTGGGGCCGAAGCAGCCCGAAAACGAATACACACCACTACACCACCATCTATGCGATCCATCCTGCCCTGAGGAATCCATCCCACGACGATGCGAGAATCGAAGAATATCATGACAGCTTGTAAGAATCTATCCCACCATGGGCAAGCAAGTCTGCGGCCACGGGTGCGTCGGGCGAGCTCGCATGCTCGGAGCTCTGACGGCGGGCGGCGCCGAGGACGGCCGCCAACATCACAGCCGTGCCGTGCGCAAGGGCAGCCAAGCGCGCGCGAGGCCCGCGAGGGCCAGGGTCTCCGCGCCCGCATGGGGGCCTCTCGCGCGCGCCTCGGGGAGGCTCTGCCCCGAGCGTCTCCAGCGGTCTCGGCCTTACCCGCGCCCCCAAGGTCAGTCAGGTCCCGCCCTGACCGAGATTGTCTCTCTTCTGCGGGGCGGGAATATTTCTAGGTCTGGAGGAAATATTAAAAGTAGTCGAAAAATATTCAAAAATCCGCCGCCGGCCCCCTTGCGGGGCCACCAGGCAATAGGCTGAGGGTTTGCTGTTCCCTGCACAAGTTCCAGTTTCCAGTGTCCACTGTTACAGTATTGTTTTATGCTGCTTACTGTTCCTTGTTGTAGACCGCGCGAGGGGGGAGCCGAAAGCTAGCAAACCTAGCGTCTCCTGAAAGGGTTCTCAGAATTTCTGGGGGAGTAAAAATTAACACCCCTCACGCAGATCGGCGGGGTCAGGGTCCAAAAACACATGGGATGTGCCACATTTCTGAAATTCGGTGGCACCTCTCACGCAGATCGGCGGAGTCAGAGTCAAAAAACCAATGGGATTTGCCACATTTCTAAAATTCGGCTGCACCCCTCACGCAGATCGGCGGAGTCAGGGTCGAAAAACCCGTAGGATTTGCAACATCTCTGAAATTCGGCGGCACCCCTCATTCAGATCGGCGGAGTCAGGGTCGGAAAACCCATGGGAGTTGCCACATTTCTGAAATTCGGCGGCACCCCTCACGCAGATCGGCGGAGTCAGGGTCGAAAAACCCATGGGAGTTACCACATTTCTGCCCCTCACGCAGATCGGCGGAGTCAGGGTCGGAAAACCCATGGGAGATGCCACATTTCCGAAATTCGGCGGCACCCCTCACGCAGATCGGCGGAGTCAGGGTCGAAAAACCAATGGGAGTTGCCACATTTCTGAAATTCGGCTGCACCCCTCACGCAGATCGGCGGGGTCAGGGACGAAAAACCCATGGGATTTACCACATGTCTTGAATTCGGCGGCACCCCTCACGCAGATCGGCGGGGTCAGGCTCGAAAAACCATGGGAGTTGCCACATTTCTTAAATTCGGCGGCACCCCTCACGCAGATCGGCGGAGGCAGGGTCGAAAAACCCATGGGAGTTGCCACATGTCCGAAATTATATGGGAAACCTCAGTGCACAGCATACGGGGGCAGGTTCAAAATGCAACACTGAGTTCAACAATATCATCAGAATCTCCATTTCTCTTGCCGATGCTGCTTCACGGCGTCGCCGAGGCCTCATGATTTAGCTCTTGCCTAGCCCATTATCCGAGAGATGGAGCCGTCGGCAGGGGGCGAAGCCCTTACGGATAATCAAAATTATAATCGTGATAAATTGCATTAAACGCGCAAGCGTAACAGCACATGGGAAAGCATGCTCCGCTGATCACAGCCAGTTCGTCCTCGCCTGTCGCCTCCTCGCGAGAGTGCGCAGCAGTCTGCGGCATGCTAACCAGCATTCCCCACCACCCATCCACCACCACCCCGCCTCGCCCTCACAGCGACAACTTCGTGGACTGCATCCATGGCTGGGCGCCGCCCTTAGCCACCACCCTGGCAACAGCCTCGCACAGCGACGGGCCGTCCTGCGCCGACGGCTGCCAGCTCCTCGACGCCGAGCTCCCGAAGGGGGAGGAGTCGCTGCTTGCCGCTCTGGCCTGCGCGAGCTCGGAGCCCGTGGAGGAGGCGGAGCCCTCCCCGCTCGCACCGCTCGAATCGCGGGCGCCCGCCGCACGGGACCCCAGCTGAAGCCGCGCGCGCGCTGCCGCGCTGGCCAGGGACTCGACCCTGGCGGCGTCGAGGTCGGGCGGGCGCGGGGCCCTCCCCGTCGAGGCGACCCGGGGCTGGCCCACGAGCTGGTCCGTGGAGGCGCTGGCCCCGTCGGCGGAGGCGCCGGGGTCGCACTTCGTGGTCAGCAGCTCGCTGTGCGCCATGGCGTGCGTGCGCCTCCCTGGGCGGCGGGCGGCGACTGCCAGCTCGGCCCGAGCGGGGACACGCGCCGTGTGGGTCAGCCGCAGTGTCGCTGCCGATGCCGCAGCGAAAGGAGGGCGGCTGCGCAGCACGAGCGCCCTAGCCAGAGCGGCCTTGAGCCAAAATGGCTACGGCGGGGCTCTCTGAGGCCATCTTGGAGCCATCTTGGGCCAAAGATTACCCTCTGACACCTCGAGGGGGTGGCCCGTCCAGGCCCATGGGCAGGGGAAGGGGGAAGTTTAAGCCCCTACCCGATGGGGAAGGAGGGATTGGAAGAGGAAGTGGATCAGACCACTTCCGCCCAGAGGGCTGGGGGGGACTCCAGGACTCCTTTTTGCTCGTTTGAGACAACTCCGAGGATGTCTTCGTCTTCGTGGGAACGATTCATAGTCATCGAGCCGGATCAAGCCGCCCAGGATTTAGCCAGCCTGCAAGGAACTGGGCCAGACCGAGGAGGAGTAGGCCAGAGCAGGCAAACTCCCAGGAGTTGCAACCGAGCTTCATGCCCGCAACCCCCCTCGCCAACGCCCCTCTGCACCTGGGCGGCAGCCTGGCACTGCGCAACCTGCTCAGCGTGCTGAACTACGGAGAGAGGGCGGGAGGTTTCTCCAGGGACCATTAGGAGACGTCCGGGATCAGGGTCCGAGACGGCAGCAAAACTTACCATCGCAGCGGGGGTCGAGCCGACACCTAGCTGGGGCTGGCGCTCCAAGGTCAAGTCTTCCTAAAACCTCCTCCTCCTCCTCCTCCTCATCCTCCTCCTCCAGAACCTTTCCGTATACATCACTCCTCCTTGTCGCACCCCGAGACGTGTCGGTGGGCCGAGCCAGGCCATTCGCCCAAGATTTCCTCATCATCTATGGACCTTGAGCTTAAAACTTGCAAAATGTGGTTCTCGTCTTAGCGCCGCGCACATTCGTCTGAACAGTTCGCACGAGCTCGATGCATGAGGGCGGGCCGTTTTCTAAATGTAACTCTCGCCATAGAGCCGCGCACACTCGTCTTCAGAGTTTGGAAGCGTTTTCACGGATGGAGGGCGGGCCGTTCTCTAGGTGTGGCTCTCGCCCTAGCGCCGCACGCATTCGTCTTAAGATTTTACAGCGCTTGCAAGAACCCTTCTGGCTGGCGTCCCAAAAACCTATGCTTTGGCACAATGTAGGACTGTCAGAGCGCGACGGTAACGTTGATTCGCGGTGTTCGGGTCTCACGAATGATGATCTAGCATGGTTCAGGATCGTCAGGCCGCAACAATCACGCTGATTCGCGGCATAGAAGTCCCGAGAATGGCATGATGGCACGGTTCAAAATTTTCAGACGGGTTGTCTTTCAACGGGGCATTCCGTCATTGAAAATAAATCCTTGTGGGGACCTGTGAAGAGGAAACTTGTAAGGAGGGTTCATTGCAACATCGTTGATGGGCCTGTTTACACTGGTCCTACTCGTCCTTCTCCTCTTCCTCCTCCTCCTCCTCCTCCTCCTCCTCCTCCTCCTCCTCCTCCTCCTCCTGTTCCTGAAACTTGCGTGCCCTCCTCCTCCTCCTCCTCCTCCTCCTCCTCCTCCTCCTCCGCCACCTCTTCCAACCTCGCCGCCCTCATGCCTACCCCACTCTATCCTGTTCCTTCTCCTTCTCCTACTCGTCCTGCCCATATGAATCCACCCTTTTTCTCCTCCTCCGCCTCCTCCTCCCCCTCGTCCTCCTCGTCCTCCTCCTCCTGAACCTGCGTGCCCGCCGTAGCGGGTGCTCATCCTCCTCATCCTCCTCCTCTCCAGCAGCAGAAGCAGCATCAGCATCAGCATCAGCATCAGCAGTAGCAGCACCACAACCACAACCACAACCACCATCATCATCACCATCACCATCACCATCCTCATCCTCATCCTTATCCTTATCATCATCATCATCATCATCATCATCATCATCATCATCATCATCATCATCATCATCATCATCATCATCATCATCATCATCATCATCATCAGCATCAGCAGCAGCAGCATCAGCATCAGCATCATCAGCATCATCATCAGCCTCATCAGAATCATCATCATCATCATCATCATCATCATCAGCATCATCATCATCATCATCATCATCATCATCATCATCATCATCATCATCATCATCATCATCATCATCATCATCATCATCATCATCATCATCATCATCATCATCATCATCATCATCATCATCATCATCATCATCATCATCATCATCATCATCGTTGTCGTCGTCGTCGTCATCAGCATCAGAAACAGCATCAGCATCAGCAAAATCATCATCAACGGCATCCTCATCAGCATCGTCATCATCATCATCATCATCATCATCATCATCGTCATCATCATCATCATCATCATCATCATCATCATCATCATCATCATCATCATCACCATCACCATCATCACCACTATCAGCATCACCATCATCTTACTCACTTCCATCCTCCTCATCCTCCTCCTCATCATCATCGTCCTCGTCATCCTCCTCATCCTCCGCCTCCTCCTTCTCCTCTTGTTGTCGGCCGCAGGCTGGTCTAGTGCATGACTATGGACGCTGGCCTGCCCTAGCCCCCTGGGGCCTCTGGCGGCATCTTGGGGCTGAATGCTGGAAGGACGACCATATGCACGGAATTCCTTTTCCACGATTTCGGCCCCTCAGGGGCCTCTGGGAAGTGTCTTTTTACAGGCAGCACGTCTGAGCTTCCTGAGCTTGCTTGTTCTTCGCCAGCTCGCGATCATGGAGCAGGCACTCCAAACTGGGAAAGCACTGCAAAGCATCATGTGCGAGGGCTCGGCCCACCAGCGGTCACGCCCCTGGGGAGGTCCTGCCGAGACCAGAGGCAGCGGCGCCACTTGGGGCTTCTTGCGCGCCTTGGAGAGCATCTCGGGCTCCGCCCGACCTCCCTCACGCGTCCCCCAGACCGTTGATCGACGGACTGCTCTGGGAGGCACCGCGGGCGGCCCGGAGCCAAGGCGAAAGAGGAAGGTGGCGAGAGGAGGTGGCGACGGCGACGGCGGCGGCGGCGGCGGCGGCGACGACGACCACGACGACGACGACGACGACGACGACGACGACGACGACGACGACAACGACAACGATGACGACGACGACGACGACGACGACGGCGGCGGCGGCGGCGGCGACGGCGGCGGCAGCGGGGGCGACAGACGACAGACGACCGACGACAGACGACCGACGACAGACGGCGGACGGCCGACGACAGTCGACAGACGACCGACGACCGACGACAGACGACGGCGGCGGCAAGGACGAGGAAACCACGGGCGAGGCCCCGACCGCGAGAGGCGGGAGCCGCTGAGGCCAGCGCCTCACCATCCTTCGGGCGTGCTCCTGTCGCGCGCGCGAGAAAGGAGGGGAGGAGACTCAGGCTCTCGTAGAGGGGGTCTCCTCCTCCTCCTCCTCCTCCTCCTCCTCCTCCTCCTCCTCCTCCTCCTCCTCCTCCTCCTCCTCCTCTTCCCAGGGGAATGTGTAGAGTTAACTGTCTCAAGGGGGGGGACGTCAAGCTACAATCGGCGATACATCTCCGATAGATCGGCGATAGGCCCCCTCCCATTCCTGGGCGAGGCGGGCTCCACCCTAGAAATCCGCACGGACATCGGAAAATGTCTGGTTATGCCACCTTGTCTTCTTGAGAGCGAGACACTAGCTGGAAGAGAAAGGAGGAGAGTACGAGTGTGAGACGGAGAAGGTTGCGGGCGTATGTCGTGCACGTCGTGCCGCAACAGTTCATGTTCGTAGCGGCGACCGCTGCCAGCATCCGCTCGGGAGAGCACGCCGAGAACTGGTCTGGCCAGGCACTCGCTTTACCTGCCTACGCAACCAAGGTCCTGCAAAGCCCTCGGAAATAGACAGCGGGCGCCGTTACAATACTTCCCGAGTATTGAACACCAGCGCTCGTCTTGCCTAAAGCTGGCCGCAAACGCCCAGAATGAGGAAAAACAGCGACGCCTG